GAGAAAGCTGGTGACAGACGTTTGTTGTAACTGGAATGGGTTTTCTCATCCCCTGAAGTGCTGGGTTCACCTAGGGACTTCACGAATCACCACCTTGGTGTTCAAGAGTATGTGCAGGAGATTCAGACTACTCTTGAGCCACAAACATAACAAAATAATGCTTACAGTTGTCTAATAACAGTGAGGTGCAAATGTGTATTTTTGTCTGAATGTGTGGTGTGTGTGTGTGTGTGTGTGTGTGTGTGTGTGTGTGCATGCCCACACATACTTTGTATCTACTGGGAAGTATGGTGGGTCAAAAGTCAAAAACTGACAACCTGTCTATTTTTATTTTGTTTTGTTTTGTTTTCTCCTTGTTTCTTGGCTCTGTCACTGAACCAGGTAAAGTTTCTGGTAGCCTGTGACACTTCAAAGGCCAAAGGCCTGAGATGACTGACTAGTTAGTCTTCTCTTCCCCATGCCTGGGGATGGGTTTGCCAGGAACCTTCACCCGGGTTATGTCTGGACTGGCACAATAGCAAGAGGAAGTTCTGTTTGTAGAAAATACCAGAAATTCTCTCCCTGGAGCCTCTTCCATAGCAGAAGCTCATTCGGGGTAGAAACATTTCCTTAGCTTCACTCTGACTCTTTCTGTGAGCTGGAAGCTTCCTTTTCTTCCTTGGATAAATGTATAGATGAGATTCTTACTTAGGAAATAAAACTACATGTGATATTTTAACAAGCCTGAAAAAGTGTTTTATGTAACAAATTACATTAGGATTCAAAGCCTGTATGCAAGGCTAATACATTCTCTTCCATGTAAATCCTCTACAGGATATCTAACTCTCACATGGGCAATCAACAAAAACTATATATATATGAGTATTTTTCTGGAAAAATCAAGTATATTTTCAGTCATAAACACTTTTTTGTGTTTTCCTTAACATTATTCTATTTCTAAGAGATAGTGGAAGGTACAGGTCACCTTCACCATGGCTGCTGAATAAATTCCTGGCCACCAATGCCCTCTTCCAAGTGATTCCAATCTAGAGTCCTGCCCTGAGTTTCCTATAAAGAGTGGTCCTGCTGCCTGAGACCACCAGGGCTTCCGAAGCACCCCTGCAGGGTCCGAGTTCTTAACACTAAGGTATCTGCCCCCCCCCCCCCCCCAGAGAACCATCAGGTTTGGTCCAAAGTCAAGTTGCAAAGAAAAAGGAATATGTGGCAAAGAAGGGAAGTCAGGTCTTGGTGGGAACCAAGAGAAGGTGGAAGCTTAAGAGGTTTGAGTGGGTCAAAGAATCAGAAAGGCCTCCTGTTACGGAAATTCAACATCCACCAGTGACTGCCACCTTAGAGAGGATACCCATATCAGCAAGTACTGAGTTGACGAGATCAGTTTGTGGATTTGGTTTGGAGATCGATTTTGTTTTAGTTTTCACAGTGCTGCTTTGAAACTTTCAGGGTATTTCCACATTCTGTAAAGACAGAGAAAGGAGAAAGGCTGAGCCAGGCTTTTAACTGCTGCTTACAATCCGATCTTCTGCTAACTGACAATGTACAGTATCGCCTCTTTGGGGAGTTTCTGGGAAAAGAAGCTATTTTTTGTTTTCATGTTTACTTGGGGAGATTGATTTTCACGTATGTATATAATGTATTTGGAGAACATTCCCCCCGACCTTTCCCCCTCCTTTCCTCACTCCTACTTCCTCCCTTTACTCTTCCAGACAGTTTCACATCTATCTTCATGTCATATATACATATATATACATATATATATACACATATGCATTGTTTTATGTATCTGTATAAAATATAGGATCCACAAATGAGAGAAAAAATTATTTCTTCTTCAATGACTCACTTAATTCACTAAATATTATGACTTCTAGTTAAACATATTCTCCTGAAAATTAATATAACAAATAGCTCAACCTCCGTAGCCAACAGAAAAATGAAAATTAAATCGACACTGAAAATCAAATTTATATTAACAAAAGGGCAATCAGTAAGAAAACTAACGACAACAAAGCTGGATGCAAACAAAACAGAACCTTACACACTGCTGATGTCAATTTTTTATTTAGGAAAATCCACATTCTACTTAATGGTAGGGAGATGTGAGAAAGAGAAATTAAAACAGTTGTATCAATATTAATACACCATTTGTAAATGGAGCCGAACTAAGAAGATGTGAGATATAGGAAAGTCCCTTGTCCCCAAGATGGAAACCCAAAACACCAACCAGCTCTTCTCTAAGAACAGGGAACTCTGTAACCCAGCTGAAACAACCAGTTGATACGAAGCTAAACGACATTGTCTTTTCAACTCTCGCTATTCCCACAAATCTCTAGTGAAGCCTATTCTCTATCATGTTGCAGGGAATTTTAAGGGGAAGTGTTCAAGAAAAAAGATTGTGCCCACACAGGGAACACTCTAGGGACATCGGGACAAGTTATAAAATAAGAGGAGTGCTCCATGGACGCTGAGATTTTTGTTCTGTGGAAAGCTAAGAAAAATCTAAGTCTGGGAATTCATGGACGCCTGAGAGAAAACACCAGATTTCTCTTAGCAAATAGGTACAGATGTAAACCAATCTTAACTAGAGGCAGCACTTTCTAAACATTATTTATCATAACTTAGCAAGTATGTTCTGAAATGGTGAACAAATCACTCTGGGCTTACTTGACTCCAGATAATAGTGTGGTGTAGAAGGGCTCTGTATGAGGCAGTGAAGCATGGACATGGAGTGAAGCTTGAAGGATCCCTGAAATTTACTCTGGAAAGCTTTCTCCATGGTGATGGAGTGCCAAAGTGGAACTTTTCAAAAGAGAGCTCAAAAAGGCCAAGCCATGTCCATAGTTCAAGAGCACATCATCTTGCCATAGATTTTGTTAATTTGAGAATTGATTGAGTGTCATAGTGTACATCGAGACAGCCCAGGAGAACTTAGCTCTCAAATGATTATTTCATCTTGCACACAGACCTTGTCTAGGGGACCCAGAGTACGATGTCAAGATGTAGCCATTAAGATTTCCTGCTGATTGCACAAGTGGAGACTTGAACTATTAACCTGAGAACTAAAAGGCTCAAGGCTGTCTCAGCTGGTAGACAGACTCTGGCTTTCATCTCCACTTAATAACTAGCAATGATACACCTGCACAGGGCATGTGGCAGGGAAAGATGAAAGGCCCTGGTAAGATCACTCCATAGTGAGAAATACAGGGACAAGTGCCACGGTACTGCACCCTAGCAGACAATCTCTCTGGTTGGCATGACTGGGGCAATAATGGGATATCATCTGTGGCTGGCAACTGGATTGAAACTTCAGAGGAAGTGTTATTTCAATTTTCTCCCTCTTAAGAAAATGTTATTAGTTTACTCGAGGATGAAATCTTGGGAAACTGACATTTTTTTTTTTATTTTGTCCCACCCACACCCCTAGCATCAACCTTTAACATGTTATAACTGACAAAACCTGACTTCTTGTTTGTATATTCTCCCAAATTCTGTTGGACTATTTAATGTGTTTATCATCTAGGACCAGACTAAGAAAATTCAGAGCATATTCTAACATATAGTGTGCATTGTTCATTTGCTTATTTGCTGTCTATTAGTACACACACACACACACACACACACACACACACACTGAACGTACCAAGAAAACCAAAATATGATGTCAAGATGTGTGGTTGTGCCTTCACATTTGAGAGTATGCGTGGAGGCCTGAGATCAACATGGGTTCAATCGTTTTCCACTTTATCCTTTGAGACAAGATCTCACTGACACTGGAGCTCACCAACTGGCTACTCTGGCTAAAATCAAGCTCCATGGATCTGCCACGATGCTCTCCACCTTCTCCCAGTGCTGAGGTTGCAAACAGTGTGCTGGGTTTTCAGGGTATTAGGAATCTGCAGTAAGACCCTACTGCTTCAACACCAGGGGTTTAAGCCACAGAGTCCTCTCTGCAGTCCCCTAGTTTTTAAAATCCACATTTTCCTCTAATGTGAAGTGGCTCAAATAAACAATTTTGCATAAACTATGTCAGAAAAAAAATGTTCATTTTAACTTCCCCACAGTTTGTTCCTTTTATCTAATATAGTATTTATTTAGATAAATTCTCAACTGAGACCCAAAAGCAGAATTGGCAAATACTTCTGGACTCCTACTTTAATGATTTAACTCAGTTCAAATTTGGAAAGACTTCCCAAGCCTCCTAAGGAATCATTTCCTTTCCTATTCACCATACATGAACTCTTCCACAACATGCCCTAGCTACATGCTCTGGCATTTCCAGAGTGTCTTTCTCCCACTAGCTTGAGTCTCTTACTCAAGCTTACTCTTACTTGTTCTTAGAGTAGACATTTTGCTAATGTTTTTTAATTGCAATCTGTGGCTCCCTAGAAAATTTTGACTTTATTTTGTTCATGTTTTTTTCATTTTATGTGGAGTTTCTCCCTTCAAATATATTCACATACTTCACTCCTGTGTAGTATTATTTTTTTTTAATTTACCTCTAGAGTCTTCAGTCAATGAAAAAATCTAGGCTCAGGTGCTTAAGTGATGCTGAGAAATTGCAAAAACATTTTTAAAAGCACGTTATAAAACCTTCATTTAAAAGGTATCAACATATACTCATTAAATATACAGTAAAGAAAATTTGATTCCAGTCAAACAAATTGATTGTCTAAAACTTCAGGGCAATATAATAGTTAATTTTACAGAATATCATAGAAAATGGAGGAAATCTTCCAAATGTAACATTTTTTAATTGAAAAATACTTTCTAATTCCTAGATTATAATTCTAAATCCTCTGGGCTTAGTCTAAACCAAACAAGCTTTCTTTCTAAGGTAGTTATCCTTTCACTGAATGATTGAAGTTCCAATAGAAGATGCTTTCAAATGTAGAAATCCACAGAAGTCCAGTTAAAGGAAAGAGATTTGTTCCATTTGCTACCTGCAGAATTTTCTGCTTGCTCAGGACACCAAGCTGAAAATAGTCCATTACTTAAACACTCACTTCTCTCTTACTTCTTTACTTCAGAAACTAGAATGAACACTACAGTTCAGCACACTATACATTTCATTTCCCCCAAAGAAAATGTTCACAATAAAATAATGAGGCCTATTGGATTTGCACAACGAAATGTTTTGTTTGTTTGTTTGTTTTTAAATGCCTCACAAATGGAATTGGTGAGCAGTGAGGGTTGAAACCACAAGCCAAAATAAATTTCACTCCTACTCTTAAGCTGTTAATGTCCATTATTTTGTCACAGCAACATAAAATGGCTAACACAAGCCTTTGAAAACTAGACGAATAGGATACCACATTCAAACAACCTTTGCATATAAAAAGTTGCCTTTACAGGTGTTGAATATCTGGTAGGAACAAAAATGGGTACACCTATATTGGAAACAATGTAATCAATAAAATTTACACTTATTAAATACTTATGCCAAAAACCAAAACATCTTCAAACATACATAAACATCAGACACATAAGGATATTTGCCTTCTGCAAGGGAAAAATAGAAAATACTATAAATAACAGTTACAAATTAATAATTACAGAAAGGAATTTGGCCAAATATAACCAATTGTATGACCAACTCAAAAATTGAATGAATGAGTAAATGAATTAATAAATGAAACAGCAAGGAAAGTATATTGGTGAATATACTAGAATCAAATTACCTGTCTTTCTACTCCTAACATTTATTAGCTTGATTTAACCATTTGGATATGCCTACTTTTGCAAACATAAAACATAGGTAAAGATATCATCTGCCTCACAAAATAATTCATTATGAATATTAATTCAAATGCATCTTAAGAACTTGTGGTAACTGGTGTATAATAAGACCCAGTGAATGTTGAGACCTGTTAAGTGGTTCATGGAGATGGTGTAGTTGTTTAGGGGAGATGAAAGAGCAGATAGCTTTACTGAGAAGATACGCATTTCTAATACTAGTAGGGGAAACCAAAAGAAGTTTATATTTCCAGGTACCATCCAATGGCTGGTAATGGAGCATTCTGATTCCTGTTGCTCCCTCATAGCAACCTCCTTTGAGTGGGGTGGCTGGGCTGAGGAGGCAGTGGGAGGGAGAAGCAGTAATGGAGATCTGTCTCTCAGGAAATGTGAGCTACATGCCAAAGTCAAAAAGATTTTGCAAAGGCTCCTTTGCTACCTGAAGTTTGCTGCTGGGAACTGCTGAGAACTCTCTGGTGGGTGTTGTCTTGGTTTTCCCTAGGGGCAGAAGAAGGAAATCACTAGAGGTAACCAAGGTCAACTGCTGAGGTGACAACTGGGAGACAAGTGGAGCATGCTCAACAGGGTTGGCAGCAGCGGTGGCACTGCTGGCCTCTTAAGACTGCCATTGTAGTGTGGGTTTGCTCTGTGGGAGCACCACCTGTGAGACGGCTTTCATAGGAATCATGTAGCCATAAGCAAAGACATGACTGTTCAAGTCATCCCTGCACAATATTGGTCATTACCCTTAGGCTGTCCCTTGGACACAGTCCATACACCATGTCAGAAACCTAACAGTTTAGGAAGCAGCATGCATTATGAAAAGTACTCTTGTTTACAGTTTCGTTGACAGACCCTAAAGTATCAGCATCCTCTGAGATATGCTCTCAATAATGAAACCTGATTCAGTTAGTAATGTATACATTAACAAAACGACCATTGACAAAACAGTCCCAGTCATTTTGTATTCAGGTATAATTTTTCTTTATTTAGCTGCTTAATATAGGGGTGCATTAGTATTGCTGTCAACTTTATAGAAGGCATTATAGGCTTGAACGGCAATGCTAGAAGTTACAGGTCTATCATCCTGCTCTGGGTTTTGTGAGTGTACCGATGCTATGTGGCTGCAGCAAACCTTTCAGGTGCTTCTGCTGAACTGAGCTCATCAACAGAGCTTCATTCTGAAAAAGCATGAGTGAAATCTAGCAAATGGTTATCACCGGCATTCCAAAACTCTTCAGCAAACTGGTTTTCACTTCTGCTCCAACTTCATCACTGCAAAATAAAAAATAGACTGATGAAGATGAGGACTTCTAGAGAAAATACATTGAAAATTATGCATTGATATGTAGATAGAGTATCAAAAGTAAAAAATAGATTCTGCATCAGGTCCTAGTCCGGAGAGTTCAAAAGATCTGCTCAAGTCCTATAAACAGTCTTGCTGGCTTTGAGGGCAGGTATTGTTTAAGGAATGCAATTCGATACCCTGTCTCCCTTCAGGATCTCGACCTGATGCCTTACTGTCTCTGTGGCATTGAGTGCATCATTCCCCAAAAGGTAATATCTAAAACAAGAAGGGAAAGTGAGCAGGGATTCAGATAAATTCTGACTTTTGCAAAATGCACTGTGGGATAAAGCAAAGAGAGCAAAGACCCTCTTGTCTGTCTTTCTATGTTGATTCTCATGGCTTTATAATGCTACTGTGCAGTAGAAGAGTGATTACAATAATGTCTTTATTTGTTCACTTCTGTGTGTTCCCAGTTGATACAGTGAGACTCGTCTGGAACAGATAAGATCAAGTTGACTAATGAAGATGGGCATTTACAGCAGAGAGTCCAAGTGGACAAAAGAAAGCATCAGAGATGAGATGGGAAGGAAATTAATTTCTAAAACAGTCTGATAGAACACTGTGATAAAATGACAAAGGGGAAAATGACTAAACTTTCTCTTTCCAGGTGTTAAGTCATGATTGGGAATGAAGCAATCCAACATGGCCAATGGCGAATAAAGAAGACCAGTTCCTCTTTTCTAGAGATTCTCTGAAACTCTAACTCTAACGAAGGAAGGAAATAACTAAATTATAGATCCTTTATGTTGCTAGCAAATAAAAATTATTATTAATCAAATTTTCTTCGAGGTGTCAGCATATAGTAGTTAATATTACAAATGAATTTTAACTTATCATATGGCTCATATTTAAGAAATGTTAAGACTTCTATAAGCTAAACAGCATATATACACATATTATATATATATATATAAATTCTAATCTGTATAACATAATATCTTGATGTGATTTTACAGAAAATGAAACTGAAGTCCAAGAAGATTAAATAGCGCATGTAAGGCAACTCTATTCTACATTCAACCTTAGTTTAGTCAATGTTTCTACTTGTCTTCATGGTTGGTATAGGCACAAGTTAGTCTGTCTTAGTCATACCAAAGCAGGTATTGACTATGGCTTATGTTCTGTCATCAGAAAGGTGTACACATGCGTTTACATGAGATAAAATATCATATGCCCTCTGCCCCTCAGTTCCTTTCCAGATACAAGGTGCTATAGTTCTGTACATGATTAAAGAGGTCGAAGTAATACAAACTGCTCAGCCCCAGGCTCATCATCACCCTCAGATGTTGCTGAGAGAACCAAGTCATGTTTGGCACGACAATTTGGTGACTGGTTAGAAATGATAGATGATGCTATGCCAAGTAGAGCCATCACTTTAGATGCATTCTGACATTTCTACTTCCCTTTGCCAATCTCAATACAGCTAAAAAAAAAAAAACCCTAAACACAAGAGGGGCAAGAGTAAACACTTCAGACAGATGCAGACAATCAAATAAATCAAGAAAACATCCTTATCTTCAAGCTGACACTGGCTGTCAGACCCAATGTTTTATTGCCAACTGAACTGACACACTTATTTGGATTTTTAAAAAATATATATGAGAAAAAACTTAATACACTGAAAAATCATAATTCTGGAGAGAATCTTACTCCATTACTTCTCTCTACAGCTGACTTTGGTTAATAAGTGATTGTAGCCTGTGAAACCTGAAGCCAATGCCGCAGAAAGCATGTTTTTTAAAGAGTGTGCTATATAAATAGGCTCTTATTCTCTTTGAATGTAAATATGCATACATTTTCCTGCAAAATAAAGGAAAAATGATCTATGTAATTGTTCTTGAAAATATAAAACCAAACTTTGCACATCCAGAACCCAAAACCACTTCCAAGAAATGCACACACACTAAAAATAATCTTCTCTCATAAAATTATGTCATTTGCACAAATTCATAATTATTCACCTTATGTGAAGACATAAGGCATAGTATTATAGTTTATTATTCATAGACCAAAGCCTATAAAGCCTTCAGTAATTAAGGTTCTCTCAATATATAGCATGGCAGAGAAACCAGGTATTATAGAAAGGACACTAGGAACTCAATATTGATTATGGGTTCAAACTTACTGATCTCTAGAAGATCTGAGATCCAGATAGTTGGGCTTGATCTTACTGCCTTATTTGTTGTTTTGAAAATGAGTCTGATGTCAGAATAAAAAGGAGCCATGAATTCACTGCAGGTTCTGGAATCCCATAATCACAGCTATCCCATTCCAGTGCCTCCTGCTTGCTCACCAACTCACTCCAAAACAAAGGGTACCTTTCATCTGCTAAGATGGTATTGGAGGAAAGATCTCTCCGTTGTCAGGCTCTTCTGTAGTAGATTCACACAAGGTCTTAAAAAACACATGAGATCTGTTTCTTTGTATGGCCTGGTTGACAGATTCTCTAAGATCTCAGTTCTATGGTTTTCTAACAAAATCTGTAAACACACAGAAATTTAAAATACAAGCTCCACCCTCCCTGCTGAACATAAGGGAATATATTGCTCTCCCCCCTTTTTCTTGAGGCGTGCATTGTAGAAAATGTGTCAGCAGTACTGTCCTTATTTTTGAACTGTCTAGAAGTCCTTTTGAGGGAACTAAATGGGAGTTTTGTGAGACTCCAGGAAGTCTTTTCTGAGGCTTTAACCAGCTTTTTTCGAAGTGCAAACATCTGAGGACCTTGATCTATCTCTCTCTCTCTCTCTCTCTCTCTCTCTCTCTCTCTCTCTCTCTCTCTCTCTCTCTCTCTCTCTCTCTCAGTTCCCAGAGCAAAAAACACCTTACGCTTAGCAGACGCTACCTTCAGTGGGTGTCTGACTCTGTGTTGTAACACTACTTCCTAAAGATGTTTAATTCTTTTTTGAGCAAAAATAAAACACAGATGAGTTCCCAAATTACCAGGTAAATCTAGGACAAGCTTTGGGTTACAATCAGTACACCAACACCAGACACTTCTTACTTAAGGGTAAAGTGATTTATTTTATCTAGAGAGGATAAATATAATGGACTATGTCTATTTGGCTTTCTAATAAGAATTTCCCATTCTGCTGATTCAATGCTATTCAATACTAAATATGGGGTCACATTGTCTGTTTGTTTTAGAAAAAGATAAGAGGGCTTTCAGAAAGAAGGATTGGGGAATGGGCATGGGAAGAGTTAAAGAGGGGAAGGTGGGATGGAAATCCTGTAAACAACAGGACTCCTAGGTGGAATTCTCAAGAAGAAATCTTAAAAAAGGGTATATTTTACCTACACAGATTCAGGACTTATGACAGAAAAAATAATGACAAGGGAGTCATTTTGATGGTTCACTGTTGCTAATCCTTGGAGTAGAAATGGCCTTCTGGATGTCTAGACTAGGTGATGGCTTCAGTATGCCTGCTGAGGATACATCTATTTTTGTTAAGACAAATTCACTCTGGTCCTCCAGCAAGTTATGTATCAGAGTAAGTGAACCTTCTTTTAATCATCAGATAAGCCAGGTTTCAAGTTCACCCTTGAAAGTCCAGCCTTGACCTCTTAGCAATCCAAGATTTATCCAAGCTTGATTTTGAGAAATAAGAGTTTGGGGAAATTATCTGATGAAAAAAAAGTGGGCCAATCCCTCTTAAGGATTTTAATTTACCTTGAATCAAACCATAATGTGAGACTGGTTCCTGTGAGCAAGTGACTTTTTCCCTTTTCTGTGTTTATCACGAGAAGGGGGCATTCTTGTCTGTAGAATAAGAACCCTGGGCATCAACAGAGCTTCTGAAATTCTTGTAATACTGGCACACAAAGCTCATTTGCCACACAACAGCAAATCAATCACTGTTCCTTGCTATTAGAAACAGAATCCTGACAATCCTCAATACCTATTAAAATCTTAAAGAGGAGGAACAGGAAAAAAGAACATTTGGGGGTGTAGCTCAGTGACAGAGTGCTTCCCAGCAAGCACAAGGTCTTAAATCCAATCCCTAGTACCTCACACACAAATCATTATGAAACTGGGAGAAGAATTTGCAGAGCATGTGTTTTCTGGGAACTAGTGAATAATTAGCTGCTGTGTTATTGAGAAGGGAATCTGGTCCTGTTCTGGAAGTCAAGCTGAAAAAAAAATCCTCCGGGGTTGTCCTCAGCAAAGGACCTAAGAGGGCAAGGTTAATGATATGCTGCTCTGCACTGTGGTGTTTGCACTTCATCCTGGAAAGAGAGAAGTGAATTACAGAGTGGACTGGGGATCAAAGAATACCTATATGTGTATTCTTTTTATGTGTCTATTTATACCTAATGCTTAATTCACAGGATGTGCTTGCTATAAGCAAGCAGAAATGACTATTTCTAGTAGAATACAAAGTTCTTCTCTATAACTCCACCCAGACGTTATTAATCTCAGGCAGAGAGGATATGATCCTTGTAAAGTGATAAATATCCATCTATTTGGAAATTATTATATCTCTGTGGATAATAGAAATCAGCAAACTGATCTTCTTTCAAGATTATTCAGTCAGCAGCTGAACACTCAATTTATTATTTAGGAAGCTAAACTGGTTATCTGAGGATTCATTCAAGGCCATGTTTGTGTGTTTTTTCATGTGTGTGTATAAATATGTATATATGTGTGTATGTATGTATGCATATGTGTATGTGTTTATGCATATGAATATATGTAAGTATATGTGTATGGGTATATATGTGTGTGTAAGTCTATGTGTGTACTTGAGTGTGTATGAGTTTATGTGTGTATATATCTGTATATGTATGTGTATATGAGTGTATGTGTGTATGTATATTTGAGTGGTATGTGCATGTGTGTATATGTATACATACATGTGTGTATGCATATGTAGGCATGTGTATGTATTGTGTGTCTGTGTGTGAATATATGATTCTATGTGTATAAGTA